AGTCACATGATTTGCCAGTTCAAATAATCCAAAATACTGTAGTTAACATGTCTCAAAGTTCTTATTCCAATATGCCAAGTAGAGAGGCATTACGTAAACGAATTGCACGTGTTAGAAATGAAAACATACCATCTCAACCACAATCATTGCAAGATATTGACGTTCCCACCCACTTGCGCACAACCATCAGTGGTGAACAGTTTTTGGCAAGAGAAATAGAATTAGACGAAGAAAAGATTATGATTTTTTGTACAACATCCAACCTTCAGCACCTACAAGAAGCAAATTATTGGATAATGGATGGTACATTTAAAATGACGCCCACACTGTTTCAACAAATGTATACCATCCATGCTCTGGTTGGTGGTGAAAATAATACATGTGATTTTCCTATGGTGTACACTCTAATGACAAGCAAGTCAGAAGAAGGTTATAGATGCTTATTTCAAGAGTTAGTCAACCTGGGTGAAGAAACTAGCCATCACTTAGCTCTGCCAATGATACTTACTGACTTTGAACAAGCAGCTATCAATGCTGCTCAGTCTGAATTTCCAGGTTCTATCAATAAGGGTTGCTTTTTTCATCTTTGTCAAAACGTCTGGAGAAAAATTCAAACTTTAGGATTGGCTATCGAATATAGCAATGATGAAGATTTTAGTATCAAGTTACGTTATCTTACAGCCCTTGCTTTTCTACCTCCGTCTGAAATCCCAGACGCCTTTGACCAAATCAGACCTTTATTGCCTGAGAGTGCAGCAGAACTTGCCCAATATTTTGAGAACAACTATGTCCATGGAAGAATTTGGCATGAGCTTAGAAATGGAAATGTAGTTTGTAGCCCACCACTATTCCCACCAGGACTCTGGTCTGTCCATGAACTTGTCAGACATGGTCATCCTCAAACTCAAAACACAGTTGAAGCATGGCATCATTGATGGAACACTTTAATTGGGAGAGCACATGTTGGCGTTTACACAATTTTAGAAGAAATGCATAAAGAACAGCAATGAACCAATATGCAAATAGAAAGCATTCTTTGTGGAGAACCTCAGCCACCCCAACAAAAGTGCTATGCTGACTGTGAAAAAATGAATTTTGACAGTTTTTAGTAATCGCAATGATTATTCTCTTGTTGAATTTTTAAGAGGGATTGCCCACAATATTTCTTTGTAATTTACTTTTTTTGTATTTTTGATTTCTATTTTTATGTATGTTAATTTAATCTAAGTGCAAATGCGCAATCAATAAATTCAATTATTTTATTATCAATT